ATTTGTGAAGGGAGAGGAAGATGTTGCTATTCAGAACCAGTAGCATCTGACAACCACTCTGGATTCATTTTACATGAACATAAAGGGCACAAAGTGCAAGGCACTAGAAAAATCAGGTCTTCTGTGTCCTTATTTTCTCTTGAACTAACTTATTCTTCTCCAAACAATTTCAGGGAACTACCCTGGCCATAAATAAGGTTCTAGTAATATTAGGTTGCATGGGCGACTTAATTCTGGCATTTCCTAGCTTTTGACTTGCAATATTAATAATGTTCTGTGAACATAGGAGGCTTGTTTGTAAATTCCTTAATTTTTGAAAAAGCAAACTGTAAAAACATAAATGTCATCATGTGGCAGTTTGTTGACACCCACACCATTCATCTGCAAGGTGCGAATCCTTAGGTCAGTCTCACAGGCGCTCTGTGACTTGAAGTAATAGAGTAACTGACAGCAGTAGTAGGTTGTTGTCCTCTATGTGGACCAGCATGAGAGGAGAATGAGACAGACACTTTACCAGAACTTTACTGACAGTAGAGGAGTGATGACACCCAAATAATCTTAGGTTCCATTCCAGGCTCCAGAGCGGAATATGCTCTAATGGGTACAGAGAATCTCCCTTCATTTGCCGCAAGATCAACCCCTCCTGCCCCAATCCTTCCAACCTGTCCTTTGCCCTGTGTTTTACCTATTCTGGCCTCCTGGTTTCTGTCTCACTCTGCCTACTCAGGGCCAGTTTCTATTCCCAGGTTTCTCATACCATGCCCAGTTTTCTTGTTCCACTGGTTCCCAATCCTAATCTCATTCCCTGAATCCCTTATCCAATCGCAGTCTCCTTCCTATGTTCTTCCTGGAGCCTTGTCCCAGGGTCTTAGCCCAATCAGTCCCATTTCTCGCCCACACCCCAGTTCCTTGTAAGCTCCATCTTGCTTCCATTTGCCCTCTTCCTGCTACCCACAGATTCCTATTCTCTTTGTTCAGTCCCAACCTCTCCCCCCCCCCCCAATCTGAGTGGCATGTCCCTGATAAACTGGACCCTAGACCTTCCCCAGTTTCCTTCACTAGCTCCCAATCCAGCCTCCTCTTCCCTTGTTTCTAGCTCTCAGGCCAAAACCCCTGCTCCCCTCACAGTTCCCAGTCGCAGTCTCTCCTCCTTCTTAGTCCCTATCTCCTTTCCCAGCCTGTCCCATTCACGGTTTTTCTCTTCCTCACTCCAGTTCCATTCTCACCAAATTCCTTGTTCCAATCTCCTCCTCCTCCCTGAACTGACAAACGTTTTACCAACAAAAGTGGTGCAAGAACTGGCTGCTGGGAGAAGCTCAAGCATGGTCAGTGAAGATAAAGTCTGGAAATGGTATCTGCTAAAATAAAACAAGTCTCTACTGAGAATGTCCAAACTGTGGTTTTTCAAAGGTTTATAACGTGGCCAAATGTGGATGGAGTTTCATGGGGCCGGCAAAAAGCCAGTCCCTGACATATCCCACTTGCTGACTCTCAAGTCTACACATTGCAAGTCACAGCATGGGCACTCTGGAGCTGATCCAAAATAAAAAAGATGGCGACAATGTTTAATGTTGGCCAACCAAGAGAGTTCTTCCTTGCCCCTTTCTCAGGAATGGCTAAACCATTTTGTCTGACATGAAAAAAAAAAAAAAGTTCAGCTTGAAAAATCCACTTAGCATGTAGTACTTCAGCTGAAATAGTTAAAGTCTGACAAAGTTATAAACAACTGCAAAAAGTCTTTTATAATGCAAAGTGTCAGGCAACCTTGATATTAACCCCTCCTATAATATAATATGTGAATTATACTTAGTGGATTTTCACTTAATGGATGTAGGGAAGAAGCAGATGTTCAAGCGCAGTCATGATAGGAAAAGTGACCGTATTAAAATGGCTCCTTCCTACTCAATAGATCATTGTATGTATAGAGAGAGAGCCAAAGATGCTGACTATAGAGACAAACACATTTACTTCATTTGACTTCTGCAATGATTATTTTTTGGTTCATGCATCATCAACAGAATTGTTAGTGACATTCCATTGATGGCATTTGTATTGAGGGGTTGAGGCATGGACTGGAAGGAAGACAGTTTGACTCTCAGATTCCAGGCTGAGTTTATAGTTCTCTAAGGCTATGTCTAGACTGCAGGCTTCTTTCGAAAGAGGCTCTTTCGAAAGCATCTTTCGAAAGAGCCTCTTTCGAAAGAGCGCGTCTAGACTACAATGCGCGGATCGAAAGATCGATCCGCTTTTTCGAAAAAGAGCGTCCAGACTGCTGGACGCTCTTTCGAAATTGAAAGCCACCCGGAACTGCTTCTGCCAGGGCATGGGGGCAGCATTTCCTTCCGGGTGCTGCCTGCCTGCCCTTTGCAGAGACGCGTGGTGAGAGGGACACTCCTGAACACCCGTTGCTCTGCTCCTGCAGCTGCCTTTGCTGTCCCTCGAGGAAGTAAGCAAGGCATTGCAGTGCTGCTTTGGAGTGCTCAGCTTCCTGGGACACCCCAGCAGCTTTTTTCTTTTGAGGTTTTTCGCTTTGAGACCCTTTTTTTTGGCATGGAGCCAGAGCTGCCCCTGGGCAGGCGATGGCCCCACACCACCATACTGCAGCTGTTGCTGCATCTGCATGACACTGTCATGAGGCTACTTCCCGAGCTGGACCCAGACCAGAGGTACGAGGGGCTCCTCCGTCAAGCAGCCGCACTGCCCTTGCCTCCAAACTTTTTCGTGGACAGGCGTGTTTGGAGGTTTGACACCAGCTCTGACTGGTGGGACCGGCTCGTGATGGAGATCTGGAATGACCAAGACTGGCTACGCAACTTCCGGATGCGAAAGACCACTTTCCAAGAGCTGTGTACCTGGCTCGCCCCTGCTCTGCAACGGCAAGACACCCACCTGCGGCCCGCCATCCCCCTGGAAAAGAGGATCGCCATTGCCCTCTGGAAGCTGGCAACCCCCGACAGCTACCGCTCCGTGGGACACCAATTTGGCGTGGGCAGGTCTACCGTAGGATCCATCCTGATGGAGGTAAGTCATTGTCTGGGGACAGTCACAGTTTGGGGTGGGGGGAAGGGAGACTGTCAGGAAGGGCCAAGTGGAGTGGGAGTGGGAGGGAGCTCCTCCACTCACCCTGAATTGTTGGGGGGGGGCGTTCTGAGGAGGGGATTCCTGGGGTGTTTGAGAGGGAAGGTGGGCAGTGGGTTCTCCTCCTAAGAGATAAGGCACCCCTTCTAACATTTTGTTGTCTGTCTCGTTCTGCAGGTGGTGAGGGTCATCAATTCAGAGCTGCTCAACAGGCTCGTCTGTCTACCAGATCTGGACAGCGTCATGGCCGGCTTTGCTGCCCTCGGCTTCCCGAATTGCGGAGGAGCGCTCGATGGGACACACATTGCAATCCGTGCACCGCCCCATCGAGCAGCCCAATTCATCAACAGAAAGGGCTACTTTTCTATGGTCCTCCAGGCCCTGGTCGACCATCGTGGCCAGTTTTCGGACATTTGTGTTGGGTGGTCAGGGCGGGCACACGATGCCCGCATCTTCAGGAACTCGTACCTGTACCGGAGGCTTCAGGCAGGAACATTTTTCCCCCATCGCCAGTTTGCGGTTGGGGATGTGCACATGC